AAAAAAAAAAAAAAAAAAAAAAAAAAAAAAAACAAAAAAAACCAAAAAATATGTAATATTGTTATATCTTCCTAACAGCCTTTTCCTTTGTAGAGCAAGATATAGTGTACACCAAAGTGCACTGAAAATACAAACACAGTAGGTGAGTGCAAAGGAAAGAATAGAAAATTTAGAAAATTCAACAATAAGAAAGTCACTGAAAAATGAATTGAATCACATTCAAAGGCCATAAAACTTTATGATTCAAGCAGCTGGTCTAAGTTTCTAACCTCTGAAGATTTTTTTTTTTTTTTTTTTGGTTTTTCTACGGTACCGGGAACCGAACTCACAACCTTGCGCTTGCCAGGCAGGTGCTTTTGCCGCTGAGCTAAATCCCCAGCCCCCTCTGAAGATTTATCTGTGAAAAAAGTGTAGGACTTTTGAATATGAATGACGAGAATGCCAGTAGTACCATGAACATAGTGGACAATCAGAGTTGTGTTTATTTTTCTTGAACAGGAAGTGGTTTCTTATAAAAGTATAAAAAACACATTGTGTGTGTGTGTGTGTGTGTGTGTGTGTGTGTGTGATTTTTCTGTTCTGTTGCAGGAAGAATCATGGCCTTCTAAAATTTTTGTCCTTTACAGTATATTTTTTCCAGAGTTTGGCATTGTGTAAACTGTACAGTACTTGAATAAAGGATCCAATCAGGGTTGATGTACTCAGAAATACATTGCTGGATTCATGGTCTCATAATCATACTTCTTTTAGATTAGTCCAATTTCCTGTGGTTCCACAATTTTTGAGTCATAGCTTGAGTTATCCTTTATAAAGGCCACATAATCCGTTTTTTTTTTTAGTCTATAATTTGCACAAGTTTCATGTTCTTTGAATTTTCCTTTTTTTTTTTCTTGCTTAATGAAAATGACATTTTTCTCTAATCCCAGCACTTGGGAGACTGAGGCAGGAAGATCATTGCAAGTTCAAGGCCAGCCTGGGCTACAGAGTGAGCTCAAGGCCAGCCTGAACTGCATAGGGAGACCCTGTCTCAAAAAGACAAAAAATTAAAAAATAAAACAAATGACATTTTTATCTTTTTCTGAACTCTTTGAGTTCTGTGGTAACTGGACAATCTAGTATAAAGATTTTATTTTAACAATATGATTGTGTATGTGCCCCCCCAAAACAACAACAACACTAAATCCAGGGGTCTTCCAACAAGTTTCCACTAGTCTGGTTTTTATTTCCCTCAAGGTGAAATAAAATATTTTCAGATTCTGCAAGTAATACAGAAAGACATCAAGAGATGGCTGTAGAGGAAATTTAATTGATCATTCGCTTTCCAATTGAGGTAGTCACAAAAATTGCCGGCAAACAGAATCTATTAAATGAAAATCTAAAATCTTTGGAGGCTTTGGATACATTTGAAGATTTTTGGCATCTTTAATATGTTACTGTTTCTTTTTAAACTCTTACCTTTTTCCAATGATTTTCTACATTTAAAATTAGAAACTTTCCTATCCAGTAATTGCTTGAATATTTTCTTTTGTTTTCAACAGTGCCCTTAAAGATAGCCGTTTTCCCCCAATGACAAGGGATGAGCTGCCACGGCTTTTCTGCTCAGTGTCTCTGCTCACTAACTTTGAAGATGTCTGTGATTATTTGGACTGGGAGGTAAGATTATAGAAAATTTTAAAAGAAAATTGAAGGTGATGCCTGAGTAGATATTAGGCTCAGAAAGTAACTCTTTCAACCCATTCTCATGGGTGAATAAACCTCAATGTTGAACAATGAGATATGAATAAAGAAAATTTTTTATAAAAAACAGAGTTCCATGTATTGTTATAATCCCCTCATTGCATTTGGTCTTTCATTTTTATCCTACTGCCTCATCAGAGCGCCTCATAAAAGCTGTTAATAAGTAGTAAGAACTGACTAGCATGTAGTTCTCTCTTTCCATTTCAGTGCACTCATGTTTAACTGCTACCAAGTGATTAGGGCGTCAGAGGATGGATTTGAGAATTAAGAAGGAGGAGTTATCTAAGATAATGTACCGCTGGGGAAAATCAGCTCATAAAATGCCAGAATTTCGGTTAACTGAGTTAAATAATGTGAATGCATTGTTGACCACCTTAATCTACACACTTTTTATCTACACCAGTGATGGTGACCCTTTTAGAGTTCTAAATGTTAACAAACAGCCAACTGCAGCATACATGCCATAGTTTTGCCACTTACCTAGAGCATCTCTGCCATGGTCAGAGAAGCCTCTATTGATGATAATTTCATTTGTCTTTAATATGTGGGTTTAGCTTCTAATGAAGTTCAGAGATTCTCACCATGATTTGCTTTAGTGGGTGAGAGGAGATAGTCATGTATATGAAGTTTTACATGCACATACTTGCCCATATTCCTAAGTGCCAGCTATATACTGGGCACTGAGCTACATGTATAAAAGTAGTAGAAATATATTACAAAATACAAAGAAACAAATGCTGTGGGACTGAAACAATGGGAATGCAGTGAAAGCATGTTTCGTTTCATACTGCTCAGAAATGACAGTACTGTATCATTATGATATAATATGATTTAATTCAACAGCTGTTTTGGAAGGACCATCACCTTTGATAACTGAGATATTCAGCCTTCTAGCCAGATCACTTTCTTCACAGTTAATTGGACTTGAATTGTATTTTTGGTTCTGCCCTGATGCCTTGTGATGTTTCAGAAAATTCATTCCACGGCGAATCATTTTTTCCAAACACAAAACAACACATTTGTAAAGTTCTTGATATTCATTTGAAAAAATCTTCATTATGTAGATTATTATGCCAGAGCTATTTTAAAACTTTTCTGCGCAGAGTAGGGTGAAATAGTTCTTTTTGGGTTTTGTGGTAGGATTTGGTAGAGCATTATCAGAATATAAAACTGCATTTTAGAGTTGGGCGTGGTGGCACAAACCTGTAATCCCAGCACTCAGAAGGCTGAGGGAGGAGGATCGTTACGAGTTTGAGACCAGCCTGGGCTACAAAGTGAGCTCAAGGCCAGCCTGAACTGTGTAGTGAGACCCTGTCTCAAAAAGATTAAAAAAAAACAGATTGAATCTTAGGATTTTTGTAAAGGAAGAAATAAAACAATTCAGTAATGATGATCCTTGCAAAGTTGGAATGTATAAAACCTTCTGTAGAATTAAAATTTCTTGCCTTATAGTTTCTTTAAGTTTGTTGCTCCTATTTGGTTTTTCCTAAAGAGAAAATTTACTGCTTTATGGACATATTCTACAGTACCTTATTTTTAAATGGCCCCAAATCATGTCACCTTTTTATTTATATTATATATTACAGTTTGGATAATTCTTTTACTGATTTAAGGCTGCTGTACCCCCTTCTCTAGCCCAATTTTTATTTCTGGTTTCTAGATTGTAGGATGCAGTACGTGTAGAGGTGGGGGTGGGAATAATAGGGAAAGAAGACTAACATCTAGATGACCAACCTACAGAAATGTTTCTACCCTTCCTTACTGCCACTGTCTTTGTAGGTACAGCACTTTGGACATTAAGCACAGATATGTGTGTATGACACTCATGAGCATATGTTGTATAAATGTGTGTGTGTATAGCAGGAGAAGGAAAGCATTAAATAGGTGTTATATAGGTATGGATAAGCACAAAGTAAATCAGCATCTTCTTCAGTTCCTTCAAGTACTGTCATTAACCTTAATGTTATTGAGCTTTTATGTTCATGAGATATATCAGTTTTCTGTTAGGAAGGTGGAAAGTATATTCTTTCAGGGGCAATTTATTCTCTCTGAAAACCTGAATTTCTAGAAGATTCTATGTTGTTTATGAGTCTTGCATATTTAATATATAAAAATTTAGGGCTTAAATATTTTTGTCTGTTAAGTGATACTTTCCTACAGAAGCAAAAAATATTTATTTGTACTTTTAATGTGCAAGCATTTATAAGTGAATTACATGCTCCTAGAACTGGTAGGCTAGGAGGAAAAGACTATTCAGTTAACTTACCATTGTTTCAAGTAGTTGGCACAAGAGAAATTTCTGCTCAGAGAATGAGGGTGAAAATTACATTTTAACTACAAGGATGTGAGTTGCTCTTTAAATATGTACCACTGTAATTGAAAATGAAATATTATTATGTGATATTCTAAGGGTTATCTTTAACAATTCTGAAAAAGCATTGTTACTTTAAGTACAGAATGCCAAAGTGGGATTAAAGGCATTTGAAAATTATATTGATAAAATTCTACTCCTGCATATATGCCCCAGGGAATTTTTTAAAAGTGTTGAAACAAAAGTTTACACACAAATGTTCATAACAGTAATACTCAAAATGATGAAAGGTGGAAACAACTTAAATATTTGTCAGTAGATACAAGGATAAAAAAGAATGTGGTATATCTATACAGCTGAATATTATTCAGCCATAAAAAGAAGTACTAATGTATGTTACAACATGAATGAACTCTTTAGAAACATGCTAAGTGAAAGAATCCAAACATAAAAGGTCACATACCATGATTCCATTTATATGAATATCCAGACTGGTGAGATCTATAGAGATAGAAAGTAGATTATTGGTTGCCAGGGGTTGAGAGAGGGGTGGTTGGGAAGTGACTGCTTAATGGGTACAAAGTTTCCATGTGGAGTGATGAGAAAGTTTTGGAATTTTAGGTGGTGGTGGTTTCACAACACTATGACTGTATTTAATACCACTGAATTGAATGCTTCAAAATTGTTTAAATGGTAAATTTTGTTATGTATATTTTAACACAAAAATGGAAAATAAATTTCACATACACAAACTGACCATAATAATCATTTACATTTAGTGAAGAAGAAAATTTTAATAATTCAAAAAGTATAAATAAAGAATTGCAAGTCTTTCATAGTTACACCATTCTGAGAAAACTACTGTTAACACTCTGGAATATAGTGTTCAAAACCTCCATATTGTGTGCATTCTCTATGCATAGATTCAACCAGTCACAAATCAAAAATACGGAAAATTTAAGTCTTTGTTGAATATTTATGGACTTTTTTCTTGTCATTATTCCCTAGATACAATACAGTATAACAACTATTTACATAGCATTTATATTTGTTATTTTAAGTAATCTAGAGATGATTTAAAGTACACAGGATAGTATGTGTCGGTTATATGCAAGTACTGTAACATTTTATACATCCAGGAACTTGAACATCCATCAGTTTTGGAATGGAAGGTGAGAATCCTGAAACTAGATCCCCACAGATAACTTTATTTCATTTAATTCTTTATGTGTTTATATCAATAAATGTACATACTTGGCTATGTATCTAAGACTATATTGAATATATATATGGTTACCATTTAAAAGAAAATTAAGGGGAAGTCTTTGTTTATCTCTGTATGTAGTTAATTTGTATTGTGAATTTCCTTTCTGAGAAGTCAGTTTATATTAAGAAATTATACATTTCACTTTGAGAAATTTTACACTGTCAAATCAGTACAGCTTTTCTTCCAAGAATAAAATATCCTATTCACCATAAGTATCTAATTTTAACATGAAATGCAAAGTTATATATGTGTTTATGTCATAAGGGAAAACAAAAAGATTACTGCAGAATTTTCATAGAGAATTTAAGGTCAAAGATAGATGGGGTTTTATGTAAGCAGAAGCCCCTAACATCGGGTTTTTCTGATGGAAAAGTTTGAGATTTGACACCCACTGGTGAATTATATTACTACTATTGAATCCCTAAATAAAGGGGTAAAAGTCCCCTCCAGATCAAAACAGAAAGCTAGTATAGCCTAAAAATCCCAAAGAATAGAGATAAGAAACTTCATTAACACGAGAGACATCCTTGTGCTCATGAGGATGAGGCACGTGGCTAGTAGTAATAGCCACCTAATTTTCAGACTGCCAGGAAGCAAATGGATTGCTACAGGACTGCCTACTATCTAACTGTATTTTTGTTCAAGGTTTTTGATGTAGTCTACTTGGAACTGTCATTCGGTCATATAACACATCTCTGGTTTTATAATGGATGTTAGTAGGAAAGTAAGATTTACTTTGCAGTTTATTTTAATGACTAGAGTAACTTCACTTCTTCAATGTAGAATATTTGATAAATGATTTCACAAAAAGATATAATTGATTTCAAGTCAATACTGAATCGACAGAATGATCAGTAATCAGTTCATATGTTATATTTTCTCAAATTAGTAGTTAAGACATCTAAAAGAAGTGTCTGTAACTAGTCTCTCAAGAAATCAGAATGCCATAGTCATTAAAAACAACCAAATCATCCACAAGAGGCTATAAACATACATTGGATCAGTGCCCTTACCCTTCTAAGAAACTCATCATTGCATACATCATGATCTACTGATTGCCCTTGTATGTGTGAAGATAAAGAGTGATTTTGGGGAAAAATGTTTATTAACTGATTAACTGAAATATCTATATGCAAAGCTAAAATGATTGTTAAGTGAGGGAAATTACTCCCCTATGGAGAAACCCAACACGATCTGTCTTGTATTTGAACACAAAAATTTGTCACCATTGTTCTGTGCTCTTCGGTTGTCAGCATATCTTAATTCTGAATGACAGGATGATTGACAGATATGGTGCTTTAGAAAACAAGAAAAACTCATGCAGCATGTTGGAGCCCT